TATCATGTTATCTGGACCAATAGGATCACTGCAGGGGTTGACGCCAATCGATTTTGCTAGAGAATCTTTAACCTGTCGAGTACCTTACTAGAGATAGCATAGGGCACCTTAGTAGACTCTGTCGGGTAGGCTAGGCATAGAAGAAATACCATTCAGAGAAATAGACTTAGGTTTTCCTTGTGACTCTCATCACTCATTCCCATTGTTGTTTGTCTTGTGAGAAAGCCAAAGTCATATATATATATTAAATACATGATTTACATTTTATTTTTCCTTGACATTTCTATTTGTTCCCACGCATTACAATTTCATTTTCCACGACATATCCAATTACTACCACACCACCATCATTCCATTTCCACATCAGTTATTCCATTTTGCCACAGCATTATCATTTGTATATACAATCATTAACTTTACTTAGGTGACAAAGTAAAGTGCCTTGACAAACCTATTTGATTTCCCCAATTCCATGTGGAGACGATACTCAACTTATCACTTTATTACTTGTTCGATTGTGTATACTTGCACATATATCCACACTCATTTTATAGTACCCATAAGAGCGGATAATAAGATACCCTCTTTTCATGGTGTCATCCATAGCCAAGCTTAATGGGATAGCAATCTAGGCCTTTCATAGAAGCTAGCTTTGCTAAGGCTATTCAAGGCGGCGGTCCAAAGCTCACAATAGCTCACATTCTTGGAAAATTTTCCTTCCCCTTTGTGTTTTTCTTTGTTATTCTCTTGTGGGTTGTAATGAAACAATGTTAATGATGGATGATTTTAGCCCCGCAATGAACTAAATTATTTAGCACGGGTTTACTTTGGATGATTCTATCTTTGTTTCAATGAATGGTATGATATTTTCCATGTTTAAATACTTGATTTGTTCATTGTTTAAATGCTTATTTTGAAAGTTAGTCATTTTCCATGTTTGATGCTTAATATCGAGAGAGTTAGGCTTAGATGAACGTGAACAATTAGGCTGAGTTGAGAAGTAAAGCCCTAACTCACCTTAGAGATAAAGATAGAGTTTCAAAGAGTAAAAGAAGTAGGAATTAGTCGATAGTATTATGTTGATGTTTGTTGAGAGGTATTGCCATTTCATTTTTACTATCAGGTTCCTTACTAGAGATAACCTAGGGACATCTTAGCAAACTCTGTTTAGCAGTATACTCATGGGAGATATTGGCCATTCTAGAGCAAGGCATAGGATTCCTTAGTAAGCTAAACCATTTATCCTTCTTATAGTTTGTTTGTTTGAGGATTTCAAGTGTCTTATTTCATACTCTAGTGATCATTTTAGTTTTGCCATAAAATTCTTTACTTTTTACCATTGAATTCTTTAATGTTTGTCACTGTATTTCACCCCATTCTTCAATAATTTTCCATATCATTCACATCCATTTGTTTATACCATTGAATACTTTATTAGTTATAATTTAAGTGCACAAACTTTACTTGAAGTTACTCTAATCCATGTGGAGATGATACTCACTCACTACTATATTACTTGTTCAATTGTGTATACTTGCACAGTTTGCGTGCCATAGCATAATACACCCATAAAAGAAACAAGTTTTTTGCACCGTTGTAGGGGTTGGCAATTGGTGATTTTAAGTATAGTTTTTGCACTATTTTGTTTATTCTTTTTGTATAGATTCACTTGTTATTTTTGTTTTCCTTTTTTAGGTTTTGTGTTGTTTCATGACATGTAGATTATCTAAGAAGCCATTGATACATTTGGTACTTGATATCAAACAACTCTTTCATCAAAAAAGATGTGTTCAAAGAGCTCAAAAAGCAATGTATAGAGTTTAAAATCGAGGAGGCCAACAAGTTGATGATCCTGAAGATCCTAATGTCGTAGTAATTCACAATGAAGAAATTGTCACATGTCCACGAGCTATTATAGATCACTTAGCTCATATCTTGGATTATCTCATCTTGGTATTGTATCTCCCGTGATTCAAGCATCCCAATTCAATCTTAAACCGGTGATGTTCAACATGTTGAATTCGATTGGAAAATTTGGTGGTATGCCTTACAAAGATACAAGGTAACACATTCGGGAATTCTTGGAGGTTTATGATTTATTTCAATAGAAAGGTGTGCATGAAGATGTGTTGAAGCTCAAGTTATTTCCTTTTTTTGGTATAATCCACTCAACATAAGCACTCAACTGAGGAATGACATTGCTTCCTTTCGTCAAGCTAACGACAAGTCTACGTTTGAAAGTTGGGAGAGATAAAAGGACTGCTTCGGAAGTGCATGAACCATGGATTCTATGATTGTACGTAAGTTGTGATGTTATGTAACTGTGAAAATGTAACATCCTAAATACCGGGTTAGTGACCAAATTGTAAAACTTCAAAATTTAGTGACTAAAGTAGATTAATTGAAAGGTTCAGAGACTTATATGAAAATTTTGTGTAGGACTAAATAGCAAAGAATGATGAATGGAAGGGCAAAATGGTCATTTGATGAATTAATAAATTAAATATGTGATATGGTGGAGATATATACACGTGGAATGAAAGGATTAAGGAAAAGAAAATTTCCAGAGTTTTCTTCATCTTTCTTCCCTCTTTCAGCCGTGAGTCATCCACTTAAGCTTAAAGAAATCTTAAGTCATCTTAAAATCAAAAGAAAAAGGAGTTAGGAAGAATTGAGGATAAGAGGGTAATAAATGAAATCTTGGAAAACAGTTGATAAGTAGAATTTGAAATTAATTTTGACTTGTCATCAGTTTAATTAAGAAGTGTGAAGTGTTAGAATTGAAATTAGAACATGTTGAAAATTTGGTAGGATTCTTAATTTCAAGATAGAGTAGAAGATTTTGTAGATAAAGATGTGTTAGATGAATAGAAATTGGTTTGAGTATGTGTACTTGAGTTAAGACTATGAAAGGGAATAAGATATGAAGGATTTGAGCTGATATGGGTAAATTTTTGGGTTTAAAAAGTGAAATCTGGACTATGAGTATCGGTACTTCAAGAGTCAAAGAGTGATATTTGGTATAGGGGTATTGATAATGGTTGAACAGTATCGATACCATAAGCTAGAATTTGATAAAGTCATTCATGGGGTATCGATACCTAGGAAAGTTGTATCGATACCAAGGGTATCAATATCATCAGGTAAATATCAGTACCATTTTTGAAGTGAAGATTACATAGTCGAAAATGGGTATTGATACCTATGCTTGGTATCGATACCACGGCTAGGGAAGTATTGGTACTATACTTTGAGTACCAATACTACTTCAAGTAGAAAATGGAATTTAGCATTTCTTTTAGTCTAAGAAATTAAGGATCAAAGTATGATATTTGGAATGCTTATATGTATATAATATGTATGATTGTGTATATATCAAGCACAAGCAAGTTTCAGAACAACCGAAAACTTAGGCTCGATCAAGAAAGAGAAATTAAGTCATTGAAGGGATTGAAATCAAGTGAGGCTAAGGTGAGTGCATACTCCAGGTGTAGCTCAATGGAAATAAGACTTGTGATAAGCATATTTCCTATGTTAATTTTCATAGTCCAATAGTTATGAACATGCATAGATTATGATCATTATAAACACATGCATAAGTTATATATATGTTTATATGATTTACTACATGCTATATGATTTATGTGAACATACTCAAATAACATATGTTATATGATATGAGATTGATGGTTATATGTACATGTGATATGTGATAGAAGAGAAGACATATGTGATTATAAGAGAAATGACATGAGTACATGAATATATGAATCATAATAAAAATGCCCATGTTATGTGATATGGGAGCTATAGGTATAGTTGGCATGCCAAGAGTCGAGGGTTACATAGGTCCTTCGGGACATATACATAGGTCCTACAGGACAAATTTCATATGCTAGTGAGTGAAACCTTATACAAGCTGTGGTGACAGTAGATGTGCAAAACCTCAATGTACTCGCAAACCTTAAGTTCTTAGTAATATACATGGGCCTATAAAAGATATAAAAAGTGTTGGAATTATTATACGCTATCATGTTATTACTATTTATAATGAATCATATGTGATATGATGGAATAATGATACGATAATTATGATTTTATTTGATTAATCACATTGTATGTTCATATTTATAGGAAATGCATTATTATATTTTTATGTCTCACTAAGTCTATGACTTAGCATGTATGCATTTTACAAGTAGTTACTGATAAGCAAGAGGATCATACATAGGATCTGCAGAGCAGCATACCTCAACTCGAGATCAGATCAGAAGTAAATTACACAGTAGGTATTTTTTATATCAAAGGTGTTGACATGTAGACAAATTGTGATTTATATATGCTCTGATAAGTTTTTGTAATATTTTGATTGTACTTATGTAAATGGTTAACTTTATATTAATGAAAGTTTAAATTTTCCATGATTTCTATAAATATAAATGTTTTGAATAGTTAATGTGAAACCTCAAATTCGTATCAGAGTCGGGTACGGGGTTAGGGATTTAATGGTATCGGAACTAAGGTTTAGCCGATTCTAGGCATAAACAGAAGTCTAGAGTGTCTTTAAATGTGTACATACCAACATAAATGTGAGAACTTCTGATCTGATAGGGTAATGAGTATACTATTTTGCTAATAGAACTATATAGTTATATCTTATTAGATGTTCGGACAAGATAGCTTAGGCAAAAAGAAGTCTAGAGTGTCTTTAAATGGTACATACCAACATAATGTGAGAACTTTGATCTGAAGGGTAATGAGTATACTATTTTGCTAATAGAACTATATAGTTATATCTTATTAGATGTTCGGACAAGATAGCTCCCGAAGTGAAGCAAGAGTTGATAGGCCAGTCGAGAGTAGTAATTCACCTGCCCTGGCCAGGCAAGGTGAAAGACATGCATCTTCTGGAGTGCCTGTACAAGATCAAGACATTTTTTATCAGGACGTTGGACGTTATCCCGATGCATTTCTAACCTCCTTCTCAATCTACTCAGAGTATGAATGTAGCAAAGGAGTTAAAGGGATTGGGAGCTCCAGAGTTTAAAGGTGAGGCCGAGGAAGGTCATGTTGCTAGGGTCCTTTGGCTCAATAATGTGAAGATCATGTTAGATGGACTCCACTATTCTAATGTGGAAAAGTTAGATGTAGTGGTCTCCTTGCTTCGTGGGGAAGAGAGAATTTGGTGGACGAATGTCACCTTGAGGATGACAAGTGACCAAGTAATATGGTATTTATTTCTCAAAAAGTTTAAGCGCAAGTATATAGGAGATCAATTCATTAAGCAGATGAAGCAAGAATTCTTGAAACTAAAGCAAATGAATCGTACTGTGAATGAATACAAGTGCGAGTTCAACAAGTTAAGTCATTTTGCGGCTGAGTTGGTTCCGAAAAAGAAGAATGCAAGTGGTTTGTTGAGGGCTTACACGTAAGGTTAAAAGAGATGTTGATCATGTTAAACTTGTCTTCATTTCAAGTGGTAGTTAATCGTGCTAAAGCTCTAAAGAGAGCTGAAAATGAACAGTTTAGAAAGAAAAGAGCCCAACCGTCTAAAAGAATTGGGGCTTTATCAAGTTCTGCACCACCCAAGAGAGGTAGAGATTATGGTTTTCAGTCTCATGCGAGGTCTAAGTCGGTGGCATCCTCCACTAGAGGATTAAACTAGATGAGAGCTAGATAGACTCAATCAGTAGGGTCTGGTTATGGGAGAGCACAACAGGGACAAGTCAGACAATGTCACATTTATGGAAGAAACCATAGCAGTATATGCAGAGTAAAATCCGGAGCTTGTTTCCGATGTGGGGAAATAGGGCATTTCATGAGAGATTATCCATTGAGGGCCGGAGAGCCTGCACAGTTAGAGCGACATGCTTTGATTTCTTAGAGAGAAAGGGTAAGAGGTAGAGGAAGAAGTCAGCTCGAGTCCTATACTAAACAAGAAGTACGCTCCATTACCCGAGTATATAACATCAAGACCAATGAAGAGCGTGGTGATCCTGAGATAATTGTAGGTACTTTCTTAGTGTATGATAAATGTGTGTTGGTATTGATTGATCCAAGTTTCACATACTCATATATTAGTAGTAAATTGGTGAGTGAATTAAGAATTCAGTTAGAATCCACTAGTAATGAGGTAATAGTAACTAATCCTTTAGGGGATAATGCTCGAGTTAATAGAATGTGTCGAGGGTGTCCCATACGGATTCAGGGAATTGAATTCCCTGCTAATATGAAGAAATTACCCTTTGAGGAATTTGAAGTGATACTGTATGGACTGGTTATATCGTTATCATGCTAATGTCGATTGTAAATTAAAGTGAGTAACATTAATCAGTTCAGATGGATTGGAAGTAATAGTGTTCAACGAAAGATGAAATCCATTGGCAAACGTTATATCAGTGATTTCAGTAAAGAAATTATTACTACAAGGATGTCAGGGTTTTCATTGCTAATGTATTGGATACGAGAACCAAGGAAAAAGGGATTGAAGAAATTCCTATAGTCAGAGAGTTTCCAGATGTTTTTCCTATAGAGTTTCCCAGTTTACCTCCGAATAGAGAGGTGAAATTTCAGATTGAGATAATGCTTGGAATAACGCCCATTGCAATAGCACCGTACAAAATGGCTCCAAAGAAATTGCAATAGTTAAAGATTCAGTTATAAGAATTGTTGGATAAATGATTAATTAGACCAAGTGTATCGCTCTGGGGAGCTCCATTGTTATTCGTTAGAAAGAATGATGGGTCGATGCGTCTGCATTGACTATAGGCAGCTCAATAAGATGACTATCAAGAATAAGTATCCTCTTCCTAGAATTGATGATTTGTTTGATCGGTTGAAAGGAGCTTCAGTTTTCTCTAAGATTGATTTAAGATATGGATATCATCAGTTGAAGATTCAGGAGAAAGATATTCTAAAGACGACATTTAGAACAAGGTACGATCACTGCGAGTTCATTGTTATGCCTTTCGGAGTTAAGAATGCACTAGCTGATTTCATGGACCTGATGAATAGATTATTTCAACCTTATCTAGACCAATTCGTAGTTGTTTTCGTCGATGATATATTGGTGTATTCGAAAACGAATGAAGAACATAGTGCACACCTAAGGATAATTTTACAGATTCTAGGAGATAAAAAGTTATATGCCAAACTATTTAAATGTGAGTTCTGGTTGAATGACGTGACATTCCATGGACATGTGATTTCTACAGAAGGAATTCAGATTGATCCTCAGATGATAAAAGCCATTCTAGAATGGGAGGTTCCAAAGAATGTATCTGAAGTTCAAAGTTTTCTAGGACTTGCAGGTTATTATTGAATTTCCTTAAGAACTTTTCAATGATAGCTTTACCTTTAACCAAGTTGATGAGAAAAGATGTGTCATTTGATTGGACTTGTAAATGTCAAGAAAGTTTTGAAATGTTGAACAAAATTTTGACAGAAGCTTCAAGGTTGGTTCAACCTGAGTTTGGCAAGAACTACACGGTTTATAGTGACGCGTCCCATAATGGATTGGGATGTGTGCTGATGTAAGATGGCAAGGTAGTGTTTGCTCTTAAGATCTGGCATCACTACTTATATGGTGAACGTTGCTATTTATATACCGATTATAAGAGCTTTAAGTATTTGATGACTCAGAAAGAGTTAAATTTAAGAAAAATGGGATGGGTAGAATTTCTAAAAGACTATGATGTGGTAATCGATTTTTACCCTGGAAAAGCAAATGTGGTAGCGGATGCTTTAAGTCGGAAGACATTTGCAGGCTTACGAGCTTTAGATGCCAGGTTGTCTTTAGAAGGAGATGGTGTAATATGTGCGGAATTGAATCTTAAGCCCACATGCTAGATAGAGTTAAGGAATTGCAAACCAAAGATGAAAAGTGTTTGAAGATGTTACAGCAAGTAAAGAATGGAGAGTTTAATGATTATTAAATTAAGGCGGATGAGAATCTGTATTACCGAGGGAGATTAGTGATTCTGGATAATAATGAGTTGAAGAATGAAATATTAACAGAAGCTCATTGTAGTCCATTGACAATGCACCCAGGTGGAAACAAGATATACATGGATCTCAAGAGTCTGTATTGGTGGTCAGGAATGAAAAGGAATATTACGGCAAGTCAAAACTGAGCATCAGGTTTCGTTGGGACCATTGCAACCAATGTCTATTCCTCAATGGAAATGGGAGAATGTGATGATAGATTTTGTGACGGGGTTTCCATTGACTCCAAATAAAAGAGATTACATTTGGGTGATCGTGGATAGATTAACTAAGTCAGCCCATTTTATTCCTGTACGAGCTGATTTCTCCATGGATAAATATGTTGAATTGTACATCAGGGAGATTGTTAGATTACATGGTGTACCAGTTTCAATTGTTTCTGATCGAGATCCTAGATTCACATTGAGGTTTTGGAAGAGTTTGCATGGAGCATTAGGAACTCGATTGAACTTTAGTACAGCGTTTCATCCTCAGACCGATGGATAGTCTGAGCGGACTGTATCAAGATGGCTCCCTATGAGGCTCTATATGGGAGGAAATATTGTACGCCCTTGAATTGGTACGAGCTTAAAGACCGAGAAGTTCTTGGTCCTGAGTTGATTTAGGAAATGGAAGAAAAATTTCAAGTGATTCAGAATAATCTCAAATCAGCAACTGATAGACAGAAATCATATGTGGATCTTAAGAGAAAAGAGATAGAATTTCAAGTTGGAGATAAAGAAATTTTAAAAGTGTCTCCGTGGAAGAAAGTATTGAGGTTTGGATGAAAAGGACTTAACCCTCGATTTATTGGACCCTATGAGATTGTTAAGAGAGTGGGACCAGCAGAATACCAATTAGCTTTACCACCTGAAATGGAGAATATTCATGATGTTTTCCACGATTCAATGCTTCGGAGATATAGATCCTATCCTTCCCATGTCGTGACACTAGAAGAGATAGAGGTTTAATCTGACCTAACCTATGAGGAAGAACCGGTACAAATATTAGCTCATGAGGTAAAACAGTTAAGGAATAAGACTATTCCATTGGTCAAGGTATTATGGAGGAATCATAAGATAGAGGAAGCAATGTGGGAGCGTGAAGAGGACATGAGGAATCAATACCCCCATATATTTGTGTAGTAAAAATTCGAGGATGAATTTTCTTAAGGGGGAGATTTGAAACATCCTAAACACAGGGTTAGTGACCAAATTATAAAACTTCAGAATTTAGTGACTAAAGTAGATTAATTGAATGGTTTAGAGACTTATATGAAAATTTTGTGTAGGATTAAATAGCAAAGAAGGATGAATGAAAGGGAAAAATGGTCACATAATGAATTAAGCTTAAAGAAAGCTTAAGTCATCTTAAAATCAAAAGACAAAGGAGTTAGGAAGAATTGAGGATAAGAGGGTTATAAATGAAATCTTGGAAAAAAGTTGATAAGTAGAATTTTAAATTAAATTTGACTTGTCATCAGTTTAATTAAGAAGTATGAAGTGTTAGAATTGAAACTAGAACATGTTGGAAATTTTGTAGGATTCTTAATTTCAAGATATAGAAGAAGCTTTTGTAGATAAAGTTGTGTTAGATGAATAGAAATTAGTTGGAGTATGTGTACTTGAGTTAAGACTATGAAAGGGAATAAGATATGAAGGATTTGAGCTGATATGGGTAAATTTTCGGGTTTAAAAAGTGAAATATGGGCTATTAGTATCGGTACTTCTTCATCCAGTACTAATACTTCAAGAGTAAAAGAGTGATATTTGGTATAGGGGTATCGATACTAGTTGAACAGTATTGATACCATAAGCCTGAATTTGATAAATTCATTTATGGGGTATCTATACCTGGGAAGGTAGTATCGATACCAAGGGTATAAATATCATAAGGTCAATATCGATACCATTTTTGAAGTGAATATTACAGAATCAAAAATGGGTACCGATACCTAGTCTTGGTATCGATACCATAGCTAGGGAAGTATCAGTACCATACTTTGAGTACAGATACTACTCCAAGTAGAAAATGGAATTTAGCCTTTCTTTTAGTCTAAGAAATTAAGGATTGAAGTATGATATTTGGAATGCTGATATTCATATAATATGTATGATTGTGTAGATATCGAGCACAGGAAAGTTTCAGAATGACTGAAAACTTAGGGTCGATCAAGAAAGAGAAATTAATTCGTTGAAGGGATTGAAATCAAGTGAGGCAAAGGTAAGTGCATACTCTAGGTGTAGCTCAATGGAAATAAGACTTGTGATAAGTTTATTTCCTATGTTAATTTTCATAGTGCAATAGTTATGAACATGCATAGATTATGATCATTATAAACACATGCATAAGTTATATATATGTTTATATGATTTAATACATGATATATGATTTAATACATGATATATGATTTATGTGAACATACTCAAATAACATATGTTATATGATATGAGATTGATGGTTATATGTACATGTGATATGTGATAGAAGAGAAGACATATGTGATTATAAGAGAAATGACATGAGTACATGAATATATATATCATAATAAGAATGCCCATGTTATGTGATATGAGAGCTATAGGTATAGTTGGAATGCCAAGAGTCGAGGGTTACATAGGTCCTTCGGGACATATACATAGGTCCTTCGGGACAAATTTCATATGCCAGTGTGTGGAACCTTATACGAGCTGTGGTGACAGCAGATGTGCAAAACCTCAATGTACTCGCATACCTTAAGTTCTCAGTAATATACATGGGCCTATAAAAGATATAAAAAGTATTGGAATTATTATACGCTATCATGTTATTACTGTTTATAATGAATCATATGTGATATGATGGAATAATGATATGATAATTATGATTTTATTTGATTAATCACATTGCATGTTCATATTTATAGGAAAAACATTATTTTATTTTTATGCCTCACTAAGTCTATGACTTAGCGTGTAAGCATTTTACACTTAGGTACTGATAAGTAAAAGGATCAGACATAGGATCTATAGAGCAGCATACCTCCACTCGAAGATCAAAACAGAAGTAAATTACACAGTAGGTATTTTGTTGTATCAAAGGTGTTGGCATGTAGACAAATTGTGATTTACTTATGCTCTAATCAGTTTTTGTAATATTTTGATTGTACTTATATAAATGGTTAACTTTATATTAATGAAAGTTTAAATTTTCCATGATTTCTATAAATATAAATGTTTTGAATAGTCAATGTGACACCTCGAATTCGTATCAGGGTTGGGTACGGGTTGGTGGTGTTACAGTAATTGCTCCTAGGAGGATGAAGTTGAATGCTTCAACAAATGGTACTTTGCTGGATAAGTCACATGAAGAAGCCTTTGATATCCTTTAGAGGATAGCAAACAAAGACTATCAATTTCTTTCTTCAAGGCTAAGAATAGGGAGGAAGGCTCAAGGAAGCTCAATTGTCAGTAATCATAAACATGTTGAAGAATCTTTAACGTCCTAGTGAGGTGAAGGAAGTCAAGATTGCAAGTTCTTCATCTGTACTTTATCGTAGCATTCATCATGTGAACGAATGCCCTGACAACAACGAGTCTGCCAACTATGTGGGAAACTTTAATATGAACAACAACAACAACCTCTATTCAAATACTTATAACCCAGGATGGTGTCATCATCCAAATTTTTCATGGTAAATCAAGGAACAAACAATGCAAGTAGCTCGACTAGACAACAAAATGTGACTGAACCCTCAGTTTTTGACAGAATATGTCGTGGCAAAATACCAACATGGTGTCAGCATCTTCATCAAATACAAACTCTTTGGAAGCTACTCTCCAAGATTTCATGGAAATTATAAAGACTCTATTGCAAAATCATTTAACATCTATTATGAGCCACGTAGCATTATTATAGAATCAAAGAACACTATTGTAAAACCAAGCAAGATTGTTACAAAGTCATAGGTCGTCCTTGAGAGCTCTATAACCAAGTGGGTCAAATTACTACAGAATTGCATGCACGCCCATAAGGTAGTTTTTCCAATGATACTGATGTTACTAAAAATCAAGGTAATGAGAAATGTAGTGCACTCACATGATTCTAGCCCCAAGGTTGTGTACGAAGAACTTGAGCTGCAAGTGGATAAAAATTTGGAGAAGGATGAGAATGAGGGTTCAATAAGTGACTCTACTAATGAAAGAAAGAATAATGCTACAACAAAAGAGATACCCCCTCTAGCAGAAGAAGAAATCAAACCCCCACCACCCTTCCTCAAACACTGAAGAAGGAAAACCAGGACCTTGAATTCAAGAAGTTTGTAGATATCCTTGACCAACTATATATCAATGTCTCATTCCTGGAGACCATTAATCAGATGCACACATATGCTAATTTTCTCAAGGATATTGTCACCAAGAAAAGGAAGGTTGAGAAATTCGAGACAGTTGCTACAGTAAAAGAATGTTAATGTGCTGAGCAAGCTGCCACCAAAGAGAAAAGATCCTAGAAGATTTATCATTAATTGCTCTATATGTGATACTTATGTGGGGATATCCCTATGTGGTGTTGGA